GACACTCGATATCTTCGTCCTGATGTAGCTATGGAGGAATTTAGGTTGGTCCTTGGCCTTGGGTGGTAGGCTGTTCTCCTCCAGCTTCTTTACCACTCTCTTAATTTCCACGTACTCTCTCCTCGTTATTTTATGTTCGTTAGACTTTCTCTGTTGTTTATTCTGTGTTTCTTGTTCCTTTGTTTCTCTTCCAAGTGCAATGACTCACAAATAATAAGCTAATTCTCTTGGATATATTATCTCTCGGGGGCAATACTGTAACTTTATTATGGCATGCGTTGCTTTCCTCTGTACGGTGGGGGATGAGAGAGGGAGAGAGAGAGGGGGAGGGAGAGGGAGAGAGAGAGAGAGAGAGAGAGAGAGAGAGAGAGAGAGAGAGAGAGAGAGAGAGAGAGAGAGAGAGAGATGAGGAGAAGGAGAAGGATTCAACTGAGGTGAGGTAGGATTACAGGTCTTGCTTGCAGTTTCACTAGGTACATCTTGTAGTTATCACTAGGTCTTAGGTAAGAAAACAAAGAGTGTGCGTGCGTGAGTATTGTGGTGGCAGGGTTGAGACAAGAGGGAACTGAGTGCCAGACTGGGCGGCACCCAGCTGCTGCTGCCGCCGCCATACACGCACCACCACCGCTCCCAGGGTGCCACAATGGCACTCCTGGTCCCCAGCTGCTGCTTATGTGCATGTTGGGTGTAGCTGGTGGTGTGGTTGTTGGGTGTAGCTGGTGGTGTGGTTGTTGGGTGTAGCTGGTGGTGTGGTTGTTGGGTGTAGTGTGGTGTTTTGTGTTTGTTGGTGTAGCTGGTGGTGTGGTTGTTGGGTGTGGCTGGTGGTGTGGTTGTTGGGTGTAGCTGGTGGTGTGGTTGGTTGGTGGTAGTCGGTGGTGTGGTTGTTGGGTGTAGCTGGTGGTGTGGTTGTTGGGTGTAGCTGGTGGTGTGGTTGTTGGGTGTAGCTGGTGGTGTGGTTGTTGGGTGTAGCTGGTGGTGTGGTTGTTGGGTGTAGCTGGTGGTGTGGTTGTTGGGTGTAGCTGGTGGTGTGGTTGTTGGGTGTAGCTGGTGGTGTGGTTGTTGGGTGTAGCTGGTGGTGTGGTTGTTGGGTGTAGCTGGTGGTGTGGTTGTTAAGAGTGAAAGACATGGTTGAAAATGCAGAAGAGTGGCAGTGAAGAGACACTGTAGAGGGGCCTTAGACACAGTCACCGACCCCAGAAAGCAGATGGGGGTTCCCGGCGGAGCCTGGGGTCCACACGGCATCTTTCACTGAACAAATTGTAAATTTATAATTATGAAAAGTAACGATATTAAATGGGAACATAAATTCCTGTGACATTCATCTTACGTTGCAGCACATCCCGAATCCCGGAATGGGACTAATTTCCATAACGTCAACAACATTTCTTTACTCCATTTTTTAATTGGAGCAATGAGGCTTCCCGACCGGTCATGTTGGTCACCTACCTCTCAGCGATTACCTTGCAAAGTAATCGTCTTCCAATCTTGGAAAGAGAGACAGACATTCTCCAATATAGAGAGTGTCGTAACAAAGTGGAGGCTTTCAAGTGGCGACTGGACAAGTGCTGCGGGAAGTGCTTCGTTATTATGGATGTGTGGCACTGCATACTGCATGTCGCTGCATGTTGCTGCATACTGCTGCATGCTGGTGGTGGTGGTAACAACCAAACCGGTCAAGTTATCAGCAGACGAGCCTGGTCTCCAGTCGGGCTTGGAGAGTAGAACAACTCTGAAAATCAACTAGAGGAGCACTGGTTGCCTGGTCTCCGCAACCTGCAACCGTATTTATAGCATGGAGTGTTATTTACACCCCCCCCCCCGTGTGTTTAGCGCGGGTTGATCGCTGTTGTAGCAGTGAAGACAGTACAGAGTCAGTGCAGTGGTGAGTGGTAGCAGTCCTCCTCTCTTAGCTAAACACCCAACATGCCTTACATTAAAACAATTGTCATATTAGCGAGCAGGTACTTGGCGTGTCACCATCATTGGCTTGGTGTCACCATTGACTGGCTTGGTGTGGGCAAGTTCCCTCCCTCCCTCTGTGGCCTCTCATCCGGACTGCGACCTCCATCAGTCAAGTTCGTATCTTCATGCCTCTGCCAGCGCAACATCACTTCGAAGCTCAGCTCACTCGACACCTCTCAATCTCTCTCCTCTCTCAGCTCGCCTCTCTCTCTATCTCTCTCGCTGTCTATTATCTCGCCTCCTCTCTCTCTCTCTCGCTCTCTCTCTCTCTGCCTCCCTATCTCTCCCACCCCCTCCCCTCTACTCTCGCATCTAGCAGCTCTACGCTTCTTAGCTCGTAGCTCTCTATCTGGCTCTCTCTAGATCTCTCTCTCTGCTCGGCTCTCTCTCTCTCTCTACGCTCTCGTCACTCCCCTCTTCTCTCTCCCTCCTATCTATCTCCTACTCTCCCTACCCTAACTCCCCTCTCCTCTCTCTCACCCCTCCCCTTCCCTCTTCCCTCCCTCCCCCTCCCCTCCCTCCCTCCACCTCCCTCCTCCCCTTCCCTAATTCTCTCTCTCCCTCCTTTCCCCCCTACCCTCCCTCCGTACCATGCCGGAAATGTTTTGGAGAGAAACTGCAAGTTTTATAGTGGCCATAAATGGTTTTAAGTTTCGGGCCAATATTTCTCCTTCTCTTACCCACATTCTCCCTTTCTCTCTAACTATTACTCTCTTCTCCTACTCTCTCTCTCTTTCTCTTCTACTACC